AGAGAGAGAGAGAGAGAGAGAGAGCGAGAGAGAACGAGAGAGAGAGAGAGAGAGAGAGAGAGAGAGAGAGAGAGAGAGAGAGAGAGAGAGAGAGAGAGAGAGAGAGAGAGCGAAAGAGAGAGAGTGAGAGAGAGAGAGAGAGAACGAGAGGGAGCCAAGATGAAAGAGAGCTCTCAAGAACAGCTTTTCCTTTTTCGTCCAAAATGCGAAGATGCTTGAGTCTTTACATAGGCGGTGTTTAGGCCTCCAGAGAATTTCCCCATTTTTAGTTGCACAGTTCCTTATTTACATTTTTTTTATCAATGTATGCGTAGATTCTATAAGTATGTAGATAGATAAATAAATATTTATGCTTATTCATTCACATATACATATGCTTACAAACATTTAGATTATGTGTTTATATATACATATATATACATACGTCTAAATTATACGTCTATACATATACATACATACAAATTCACTTATATATACATATACATATATATAAATATATTCATATATACATATACATACATACAGTATGCATAAACATACATATATATGCATTATGTCTGGTGTATGTAAATGCATGTATGTACGTATGCAAATATGTAAACACTCACACACATACTTATTCATCTGCCGATCAGTATGCGTACATAGTTGTGCTTACAGGGAGATAGATAGATAAATAAACTGTATTCCATGTGCGTCAGTTCAACTACGCATTTCAGATCCACATGAATATGATCGGTTGAATTTAATTATAGAAAAGTCTATGTTGAGTCGGTGGCAAGATGTTCACCTGAGCAGATGCAATCAAGGTCTCACACCTGTACCAGTGTTGCCACATCTCAACAGCGGCATCCACCTATGTGACAAATGATCATAACATCAACAACAAACAGGTACTTTTGTGAAAGTAAACAGGATTATGTAAGTCAACATAATTTTGCCATCAAATATGATTATGTAAATCATAAATAGAAGGTAGTGTTTTGCTTTTTAATTCCGGTAACACCTGTTCAAAGTTTGCCGACGGTCGCATGTCCGTAAAGACGATTTCCGCCAAAGGTTTAGAACGCTAAAACTGTGTCTTTCAAAACAACAGTAATTCTATGTATGTTTACCTACTGAATTTACGTTAGACTATACAAAACATGTTGCATGCGTTTACACACACTCATATATATATATATATGTATGTGTGTGTGTGTGTGTGTGTGTGTGTGTGTGTGTGTGTGTGTGTGTGTGTGTGTGTGTGTGTGTGTGTGTGTGTGTGTGTGTGGTCGTGTGTGTATATAAATATATATATATATATATATATATATATATATATATATATATATATATATATATATATATATATATATATGTATATATATATATATATATATATATATATATATATATACATACATATATATATATATATATATATATGTATATATATATATATATATATATATATATATATATATATATATATATATATATATATATATACATATATACATACATGTATACGTGTGTGTGTGCGTGTGTGTGTTCATTTATGTAACTACTTATCTATGATTGTGAAATGTATGTTTATTTGGACAGATATAATGCTACCGATTCGGATCTTTTCGCAGGTGGCAAAAATGCTACTGAGTATGTTAGAAAAACATTTATTTTTTAACCGCTCGATGCTGTGCTCGAAAAAAATAGGTTTTCGAAGTTTGCAGACGATTTTCTTTGGACTATCCGATCAGAAATCTTTTTGGTATGAAAAAGACACCTGCCATTGCGCATACACATATATGTGCTAGATACGCATACATAATACACATATACATATACATTCGCACACACACACACACACACACACACACACACACACACACACACACACACACACACTCACACACACACACACACACACATATATATATATATATATATATATATATATATATATATATATATATATATATATATATATATATATATATATAGAGAGAGAGAGAGAGAGAGAGAGAGAGAGAGAGAGAGAGAGACAGACAGACAGACAGAGAGAGACAGGCAGACATACAGAGAGAGAGACAGAGAGACAGACAGACAGAGACAGACAAACAGAAACAGAAAGAATAAATAATCAAATACACCCCCCTCTCCCCCCCCCTCCAATAAAAAAAAGACAGCCAAATATAACAAAACAAAAAGAAAAGAGGAGAATTATAACCTTCGTGCCAGTCTATAATCTCTAAAGTTACACATATAAAAAAAAATAAAAAAATAAAAAGATAAAAAAAATATATTACAAAAATCCGCCCGAGTTACCAAGGCCATAACTAAAACACACGAGTCACTTTCGGAACCTGTTGTTCTCTTGAGGTGCAATTTTCGAAGGAGGGGGGGGAGGGGGTGAGGAGGAGGAGGAAGTGTGGGTGTAGGTAGGGGTAGAGTTAAGGGGGGGGAGGGGATTCTGATTTTATTTATAATAGTGACTACCATTACATTACTTTCTATTGATGGTATTGAATATTGTTAGATCATATCTTTTTTTTTTTTTTTGAGGAGGGGGGGAGGGTAATGCGCTCGTATAGAAATCGAACGAACATGTAACATAAACTTGAAAGTCTCCAGATTTTGATTTTGAAAACGATAATAAAAAAAATCTTAAAAATCCTGGGAAGGAAAAAAAATATATTTATATACCAGACAAAAAAAATCACCCACCCCCTCCATTTTTTATTTTTTTTTTCAGAAAGGAAATTCAAAACAGGTCAATTAACAAACAAAACACATAACAGCCCACAGTTCATCACTACGCATCAAAAACACACTTTGGCTATATCTATCACACCTGCCATTTTACTCTTCAACATACATTTCACGAAGTAGCTTCCATATGTGTACTAGATAAGCATAAATAAATACATACATACATACCTACATACACACCCACACCCACACCCACACCCACACACACACACACACACACACACACACACACACACACACACACACACACACCACACACACACACACACCCACACCACACCCACACACACACACACACACACACACACACACACACACACACACACACGTACGCGCGCATGGTTAGTATTCAGTTCTTGGGAAACAGGTGTTGTGACTGGTTTCGTTATAATAATAAAAAAGAGGGTGATACAGGATCGTGATATATCGTGGAGGAGGAATTAAACAAAAAAAAAAGTATGAAAGTGTGGGAGATGAAAAGGAGGCGATAACGGATTAGAATAAGGAAGAGAGAGAGAAAGGGGAGAGAAAGAGATCGTAAATATTTCACGTGTTGGTCTTTCGTTCTCTCTTCTCCTTTCTCTCCCGTCTTCCTTTTCCTTTCTCCGTCCTCCCACCTCCCTTCTTCCTCCTTCCTCTTCCTTCCTTCTTCCTCTCTTCTCCCACCTCCCTTCTTCCATCCCTTTCCTCTTCCCTATTTCTTCCTTCCTCCCTCCTCCCATTATCCTTCTTCCTCATCTTTTCTCCTTCCTCCTTCCTCCCATCTCCCCCCCCCCTCCCCCATACGCTTACCCTACAGACACAAACCTATTCATTCCCACTAAACAAACACAAACAAACGCTCTCCTAACACACACACAATCAAAGATAAAAAAAGACACGCAAACAAAAGAACTCGCCCAGCAAACAAGACAGATATTCCTACAAACAAAAAAAGCTCTTTCGTCAAATTGGATGGAAATTATTACAAACAAAAAACTCTCTCTCGGCAAACAAGATCGGAATATTACATCGAACGCAAACAAAGGTCCAGAGGATTAATCCGGGAAGAAATACTTACAAACAAGAGCTCTCCCGCCAAACGAACGCAAACAAGCTCTCTCCCACCGAACACAAAAAAAAAAATTCTCTCGCCAAACAAGAAAGAAATCGTCACAAACACAAAGTTCTGCCACCATACGGACGCAAACGAACGCTCTCCCACTAACCACAAACAATCTCTCCCCCGCTAACCACAAACAAAAGCTCTCCGACAAACCACAAACAACAGTTCTCTCACTAACAAACCAAACCTTCATTCCTCGAACTTACCTCATTTAAAACAAACCACAGACATCCCTCCTACTAACCACAAATATCTTTCCTACTAACGACAAACGTCTTTCCTACTAACCACAAACGTCTCACCTACTAACCACAAACATCTTTCCTACTAACCACAAACGTCTCACCTACTAACCACAAATAACGTCTCTCTCACCAACACACGCTCTCTTGCTAATAAAAGCTCTCTCACGTCCAAACCAAGCATCATTCCAAGCATCAACTTACTTTGCCCGATTAGACTGCAAACCAACGCTTTCCCACGAACCACAAACAATATCTCTCCTACTAACCACAGACAAAAGCTCTCTCGTCAACAAACGCTTCTCTCACTAACAAAAACTTCTTTCCCTAACAAAATCTCCCTCTCCAACAGATGCTTCCCCCCCCCCCAACACAAACAAGCGGTCTCTCACTAACAAACGCTTCTCTCCCCAACAAAATCTCCCTCACTAACAGACGCCCCCCCCCCCAACACAAACAAGCTTTCTCTCACTAACAACCGCTTCTCTCCCCAACAAAATCTCCCTCGCCAACAAACGCTTCTCTCCCCCAAACACAAACAAGCGGTCTCTCTCTCTAACAGACGCCTCTCTTACTAACAAAAGCTCCCTAACAAAATCTCCCTCACCAACAAACGGTCCTTTTACCAACAAAAGGTCTCCCCAACAAACGCCCCCCCCCCCCCAACCACAAGAGGTTTCTCTCACTAACAAACGCCTCTCTTACTGATAAATATCCCTAACAAAATCTCCCTCACCAACAGTCGCTTCTCACCCCCCAACCACAAACAAGAGGTCTTTGACTAAGAAACGCTTCTCTCCCCAACAAAATCCCCCGCACCAACAAACGCTCCCCCCCCCCCCCCAACCACAAACAAGCGGTCTCTCCCCAACAAGCCAGCCCTTCCTCCTCCCGCAACCTAC